AATCTCTTCAGTGAGCTTTAATTTTGAAACCGATCCTTGTGTGATGGAAATAATTAGTATTCAAAGTATGTAGCCCTGAAACAGTCTAAATTTACACTCTAGATTTAAACTTGAGTAAGGAAATGAAACTAGGGCCAACGATAAGGAATAGTTCATTTGGAAAAAGTGGTTTTATGAAGGGTATTCATCTTTCATACTGTCAAAAGTATAGTGATTCTGTTCATTTTACTGAGGGTAATAAGGAAATAAATATCTATCTGATTATAGTGATAGTTAAATTGTAATTTTCTAGATTTGTCATTAACTTGCTGACTTTGAATAAGTTACTTAGTTCTCTGAACTTAGGTAACTGGAAATGTGGTAGATTAGCAAAAATAAGGATGAGTATGTTTTAAAAAGAAAGTAAGGCTGAATATGGCGAATTTGTTGTACTGGACATGAGCATTCTGATATGCAGGAGGTAGAAGGAGGGGTTTGGTTAGGAAGAATTATGTTTGGTTAACATGTCACGTGAGAAGTCGTTGAAATAAGTTTAGATGGCTAACTTGGGGCCATATATTATTTCAGGGCTTTAGGAGTTTCAGGTCTAATTCAGTGGATAACTGGGAGCTTTTAAATGTTTTGTGCAAGAGAATATATAGAATTGTTCTTTTAGGAATATTAATTTGATGGCAGTAGAGAGACTTAATAGAAGAGTTCTGGTTTCCCTTTTGCGTATTTAGTGAAAACTTGTTTATTTAAGTATGCCACTGTGTTTTTACTTAGTGTGGGTATAATTAAGTCCTTAATATTATTTTTTTCTGTTTGTTCAGAATAGCACAAATGATGTTGATTGAAGTTTCAATTTCTTCCAGTAGTTTGACATGATCATAGAAAAAGGGGGAGTTGTTTACCTTTTCTATAAACCTAGTAGTAGTATAAGTGTATATATAACATGTCTCAGTGATTCAAAATGTTACACTTTTAATATAGTGTCCCTGATTATAAAATAGTTTATTATTCACTTGTGAAGGTTAGGATCTTTTACAGAAAAAGGAAGACTAACCTAAAATCAGTAATTTTTTTCAAAACAAAGTAATTGTTTAGCCTTAGAATTTGGTAGCTTATGATATGTAAGTGTTGTCAATCAAAATTTTTCTTTAACATCCTTTATTTATTACAATTTTAAAATTCTAAATTTATAAAGTCCAGGAAAGGAAGTACTGCAGAGTGGTTAAAGAAAAGAGCCTAGATCTTTATACTCTCTGAATTCAAATCTCAGATCCATCATTTTTCAGTTTTGTGACTCTGGGGTAGTTACCTAGTTTTTATGCCTGTTTCTTCATTTCTGAAATGAGGATAACAGGAGTACGTAACTTTATAGGGTGGTTTGAGCATTGAAGGAGCATCTGAAATAAATGTGCCTGGCCAGCATTACCATCTCTATAAATGTTATTATATTGTGAAGTAGAAGCAAATAACCAAATATTTCCGATAATTACAGGGTATTTGCTGGATGACAACTTACCTTATTTCAGGAGATCAAACTTGAAGGGCTGATAAAGAAAGAAGAATTTACACCGGTTGCACTTATGCATAAACTCATCCCTCCAAAAGATAAAGCACATGAACTTGAGAGTTAGACATGTTTACATCCTTGCTTTCTGGCCTTCTAGCTCTGTGACTTAGGGCAAGTTTTTTTTAATTCCTCCCCCCCCCCCCCCCCCCACACACACATTTTGAGGTAGGTACTGTTACTATCTTTATTTTACAAATGAGGAAATGACGGGGCACCTGGGTGGCTCAGTCATTAAGCATCTGCCTTCGGCTCAGGTCATGATCCCAGGGTCCTGGGATCGAGCCCCACATCTGGCTCCTTGCTCCGCGGGAAGCCTGCTTCTGCCTCTCCCATGCCCCCTGCCTGTGTTCCTCCTCTCGCTATGTCTCTCTCTGTCAAATAAATAAATAATATATTTAAAAAAAAATGAGGAAATGAGGCACAGAAGGGATAAGTAATATTTTTCTCAGGGTCACACAATAAATAATATATTAAAAAAAATGAGGAAATGAGGCACAGAAGGGATAAGTAATATTTTTCTCAGGGTCACACATTTTTAAGTGATGAATCTGGGATTTGAACCCAGGCAGTTTGATCCCATGATAACTTTAGGAGGAGTGAGGGCAACTCTATTCTTAGGGCCAAATGGTAGCAACCTCTTCTGGATGTTTTTTTCTAAGTGCTTTTAGAAATGCGATACTTGTTGCATGGTTAATTTTGGACTGAATCTCAATTTATGATTTTTCTTTTTTCAAAATTAATGAATATTTGAAATACCAATTTGTAAACTTTGTCATTTGACCAAGTGCCAGGAATATAGTTTTCACTGTGAAAGAGAGTCTGGTATTAGATAGGAATAAGGATACATTTTAAAAAATACTTAAAATTTTTGGCACGATTCTAGTTGTAATTTGTTTTCCCTCATAATTTTAACAGTAACATGTTTCGAGTTCACTTTTCAAGAAGACTGGCCTCTGCATTAGTGGCTTTTAATTATATTAACTAGATGAAAAAGATAGCCTTTTTGTTAAGGAGTTGCTACCTTTTATTTAGATGGAGCAGCTGTGTAATTATTTGGTTCTGCTCTTTGATCCCCAAATCTCAGTTTTATACAAGATTATACATTATTTTAACTAAAAGGAATTCTCAAATTCCCTCATTTTACAAAAGAGAAACTGTGTATCAAAGAAGATAACATAGTAGGTTGTCTTTCGGAAGTGTGTACACCCTGGGGCGCCTGGGTGGCTTAGTCCGTTGAGCCTCTGACTCTTGATTTTGGCTCAGGTCATGATCTCAGGGTCCCGAGATCAAGCCCCATATCAGGCTCTGAGTTCAGTGCAGAGTCTGCTTGACCCTCCCCTTCTGCTCCTCCCCCCACTCACACACGCTCTCTCTCTCAAATAAAAAAAAATCTTAAAAAAAAAAGTATACACGTGTATGTTTTATAAAATCCCATAAGGTGGTTTGGCTTATTGGTTTGGATGAGTTGCCCATCCAACCTAGTGTTCTAGGTTATAGAAGACCTTTTTAAATGCATGGATTTTCCCCTCATTACCCCATCTAAGAATCTTTTAGATATGGTATCATACCCAATATGGATTTATCTAAAATTTATATGACATTGTGAATTTAACTCTCTTATTCATCAAGGGGAGTATCTTTGGAAGACATGTCCATGTTCATGATAGCCACATCTCTTTGTTTTTTTCTGTTGATTAACCTTGCCTAGCTTGTCATTCCAGATAGAAATGTCCAGATTTATTAGGTCCTCTGCACCAAAGGAATACCTTCCTGTCATTCCTCGGTCTATTTCAAATTGTCTTTTTCTAGAGGGCTTTCTCTGGTGTAAACCACAGAAGATCTTTAGCTCCAGATCTTCCAATTGCAGATATAAAGTGACATTGTGCAAGCTTAATATGCCAGTATGTAGTGTATTCGTTGGCTCAGGCTGCCGCACCAAAGTACCATAGACTCAGTGGCTTCAACAACAGAAATTTATTTCTCCCAATTCTGGAGGCTCGAAAGTCTAAGATCAAGATTTGGGCAGGGTGGGTTTCATTCTGAGGTCTCTTTTCTTGGCTTATAGGTGGCTGCCATGTCACTCTGTGCTCACATAGCTTCCGAATGTTGCTCAGAGAGAGGGAGAGGAGGAGCGGGGAAGTAGAGGACATGTCATCACAGAGGCATAAGCAAGCTCTCTGGTGTCTTTTCTTATAAGGGCACTAACCCTATCAGACCATGGTCCCACCGTCATGACCTCCTGTAATCCTAATGACCTCCCAATGGGTCCCATTTCCAAATACTATCCCATTGGAGATTAAGGCTTCAGCATACGAATTTGGGGGATGGGGACACAAACATTCAGTTCATAACATACAGGATGTAGTGCTTAAGAAAATGAGCTCTGGAGTTGAATAGCCTGGAGTCTTACTAGTTATGTATTGAGTGAGTTATTCCTCTGTGACTCAGTTGTTTTTTGTTTTTTGTTTTTTTTTTAACCTGTAAATCGGGGATATTAACTCCACTTATAACAATAGAGTTGTAGGGAATAAAATGAGTTCCTGCATGTAAAGCATTTAGAATAACAAGTATCCCTTGGGATGCCTGAGTGGCTCAGTGGATTCAGCATTGGACTCTTGATTTTGGCTCAGGTCATGATCTTAGGGTCGTGAGATCTGCTTTGGGCTCTGTGCTGAGTGTAGAGCCTGCTTAAGATTCTTCCTCTCCCTCTGCCCCTCTCCTCAACCATGTGTGTGCTCTCTCTCTCAAAAAAAAAAAAAAAAGAATAACAAGTATCCCTCAATGTTAATTTTAAACAAAACAAGGCTGATGATAATAATTATCTTCCTAATGACAATCAGTGTTTTCTTTGCAATTTGGACAGTGGTACATAGCACTAATGTCCTCACATACTAGTGTACGGTGACTATTAGAATGTTTTTCTTTAGTGATAGACAACCTGGAATATAAGAAAATATGCATGATTCTCTGAAAGTGTTCTTCTGAACTGAACATATGCTAATAAAAAAGGATTAAGCAAAAGTAATTATTAATTTTATTCAAATACATTTTTTTTTAAATTTTTGGCTTTGATTAGGGCAAAAAATTTACCTGTCTGAAAAATGTGAATAAAAGTTTGGATGCCATGTGTTAACTGAGAAGAATAATATCTTAAAGCCAATTTGGTTTATGAAATTTCTTTAACATAAACATGTTATTGCCTCTTGAGAAATGATAGGTTCTATGGATATCATTTAATCATCTTTATAATATATATGATCACTTAATCTGAATTAATGGTACTACTCATAGTACTACTTTTTCTTTTCCATCTTGGCTTTTTCTTTGTAAAAGTTTTGTGTTAACTCATTACAAACTGAACCCTTGCTTGCTCCTCTTACCTTTAGTCTCCTTTAAACTCTGTCTTTATTTCTGCTGAGGTTATATTCTATTTGTTTTTCAGATGAGACACTTTTTGCTCTTCCTGCTGCATCTGAGCCTGTGATACACTCCTCTGCAGGCAAGTTCTTTCTGCTAGCCTTTTATCCTCTGGGTATTCTAACTTTAACTCTTTAGTTTTATTAACTCTGTACAGAGTGGTTTGAGTTTACTAAAAATTAGCATGGTTCCAAGAATGTTTGTCTATTGAAAAAGTTGAAATTTATATTTTATATGCTGTATCCGAGAGAGAAATGGGCAGAGCCTGGTTAATAAATTGGGTATATGCAAGGAATTCTTGGACCCTTGATTTACATTTATATATTGACTAGTCCTTTTTTCCAAATGCAGTTTACTTATAGCTGAAAAGCTTTCATAGAAATGAATGCCACTCTTTGGCATTTAATTATTCAGTGTCTTTTCTGCACTGTCAGACTCTCAAATTCTTTTGTCTTCCTCTAAAACTAGTTAGAAGTAGCTTTTCTCAGTTGATTATACTTGAGGTTTTTTTCTCAGAGACTCGATTTATGCCTTTTCATAGCATGTATTTGCCTTTGTAGCCATGCACGTTTTATTGACAATAGCTTTAATTTTTTCAGTAATGATTCAAGACTGCTTGATTATTTATTGTTATTAACATTTAATTTTAGTTAACATTAACTCTTTACTAACAGTATTTTGAATCTGTCATAAAACTTGCATTAACTCTGAGAACGCTGGCATTCTCTAACTTTCCTTTCTGTCCATGGTCACAGAAAAAATAATGGACTTGAAGGAGCAGCCAGGTAACACTGTTTCCACTGGTCAAGAGGATTTTCCATCTGTCCTGCTTGAAACTGCTGCTTCTCTTCCTTCTCTGTCTCCCCTCTCAGCTGCTTCTTTTAAAGAACATGAATATCTTGGTAATTTACCAGTATTAGTCACTGAAGGAACACTTCAAGAAACCTCAACTGAAGCTTCTAAAGAGTTCACAGAGAAGGCAAAAAATCCATTTGTAGACAGAGATTTAACAGAGTTTTCACACTTGGAGTACTCAGAAATGAGATTATCATTCAGTGGCTCTCCAAAAGCAGAATCTGCCATAACAGTAGCAAGTCCTAGGGAAGAGAATAAAGATGAACAAGAGGATTTAGTTAGTAATGACATCCTTCGTAATCCACAAGAGTTACCCATAGCCCTTACTAATAAATCAGTTAAAGAAGAGGACAAAGTTATGTCTCCAGAACAAACAAAGGACAGTTTCAGTGAAAAGGGAATTGCAGCAGAAGCTCCTATGAGGGAAGAATATGCAGACTTCAAACCATTTGAGCGAGTCTGGGATGTGAAAGATACTCATAAGCAAGATAGTGATGTATTGGCTGCTGGAGGTAATATAGAGAGCAAGTTAGAGAGTAAAATGGATAAGAAATGTTTTGCGGATAGCCCTGAGCAAACAAATGATGAAAAAGACAGTGCAAGCAGTAATGATGATACTTCTTTCCCCAGTACACCGGAAGCTGTAAGAGACCGTTCAGGAGCGTATATCACGTGTGCCCCCTTTAACCCGACAGCAGCCGAAAACCTTTCGACAAACATTTTTCCTTTGTTGGAAGATCATACTTCAGAAAATAAGACAGATGAGAAAAAGATAGAAGAAAAAAAGGCCCAAATTGTAACAGAGAAGAATTTTAGTACCAAAACATCAAACCCTTTCCTCGTAGCCACACAGGATTCTGAGACTGATTATGTCACAACAGACAATTTGTCAAAGGTGACTGAGGAAGGAGTGGCAACCATGGCTGAGGGTCTAACCCCAGATTTAGTACAGGAAGCGTGTGAGAGTGAATTGAATGAGGCTACAGGTACAAAGATTGCTTTTGAAACAAAAATGGACTTGGTTCAGACATCAGAAGCTATGCAGGAGTCGCTGTACCCTGTGGCGGCACAGCTTTGCCCATCTTTTGAAGAATCTGAAGCTACTCCCTCACCAGTGTTGCCTGACATTGTTATGGAAGCACCATTAAATGCTGTAGTTCCTGGAGCTGGTGCTTCTGCGGTGCAGCCCAGCTCACCACAATTAGAAGCTCCTCCTTCAGTTAGTTATGAAAGCATAAAACTTGAGCCTGAAAATCCCCCACCATATGAAGAGGCCATGAATGTATCCCTAAAAAATGTATCAGGAATAAAGGAAGAAGTGAAAGAGCCTGAAAGTATTAATGTAGCTGTTCAAGAAACAGAAGCTCCTTATATATCTATTGCATGTGATTTAATTCAGGAAACGAAACTCTCTACTGAACCATCTTCAGATTTCTCTGATTACTCAGAAATAGCAAAAGTTGCACAGTCAGTGGCTGATCATTCTGAGTTAGTTGAGGATTCCTCACCTGATTCTGAACCAGTGGACTTATTTAGTGATGATTCAATACCTGAAGTTCCACAAAAACAAGATGAAGCTGTGATACTTGTGAACGAAAATCTCACGGAAACTTCTTCTCAGTGGATAATAGAACATGAAAATAAGGAAAAACTCAGTGCTTCACTACCACCTGAGGGGGGAAAGCCATATTTGGAATCTTTTCAGCCCAATTTAGATACCACAAGAGATACCTTATCACCTGATGAAGTTTCAACATTGACCCAAAAGGAGAAAATTCCTTGGCAGATGAAGGAGCTCAGTACTGCAGTTTATTCAGATGATGGCTTATTTATTGCTAAGGAAGCAAAAGTAAGGGAGAGTGAAACATTCTCAGATTCATCTCCAATTGAGATTATAGATGAGTTCCCTACATTTGTCAGTTCTAAAACTGATTCTTCTCCCAAATTAACCGGGGAATACACTGATCTAGAAGTATCCCACAAAAGTGAGATTGCTAATGTCCAGGATGAAGCTGGGTCATTACCTTGCTCAGAGTTACCTCACGACCTTTCTTTCAAGAATGTACAACCTAAAGATGAAGATAAAGTCCATGTCCCAGATGAACTCTCCAAAGATAGGTCTGATATCTCGAAGGTGCCATTACTGCCTCCAGATGTTTCTGCTCTGGCCACTCAAACAGAAATAGGCAGTATAGTCAAACCCACAGTTCTTGTGAAAGAAGCTGAGAAAAAAACCCCTTCTGATACAGAGCGAGAGAACAGATCACCATCTGCTATATTTTCAGCAGAGCTGAGTAAAACTTCAGGTAATCAGTCCATACATTGTTTTGTACTTTCTTGCCACCTTTTTACTGATCATGGAACATTCCACTACATTTTCTGTAGTATATTACATTTAGAGTCTCTAATATATCACATTGATAAGAATTCTTTTCTACTGTCTCCAGAAGTTTTAGTGCTTTTTTTTTTTTTTTTAACTCCTCATTACTCGCCCTTGCTTGTATTTTTCCACACAAAGACTATACTTTCAGGGATCATTTCTGTAGTTTGTTACTTTTTTCCACACAATTATTCATCGCTCCTTTTTATGTTACACTATGTAACTAGAAGATTATATAAGAATTGGCTTCATGTCTTTTTTTTCTTTCTTTTCCTTCAGTATTTCCTCATAGCACGAAGAGTGAGAGGTATTAAAACAAAATATTTTCAGATGTATTTACTATTTTTTCCCAGAAATTACTTCATTTTAAATTTTTATGAAAGCACATTTCTGAAATATGTCTCCAGTATTTCAATATACTGCTGTATTTTCCAGTAATAGGTATAGAGTTAAGCATATTGAGTAGTAGACATTTTGTTGAAAAGTATAAGTTGAGGTATGCTGTTATGAATTCTTCTGAAAAGTAGGGATTGTCATTTTGTCTTTTGACGCTACGTTTCCCACACACTTGATTTGTGTAGAGTGATTTGCACATGTGTTTTTTATTTAGCATTCTAATTTAGCCATGTTTTCTATAAAAATGTATAGTGATTACTATTTATTGAGTATACTTAGGTTTTGGAGACGGGTAGTACTGGTGGCAGAGAAACCAGGTTAGAGATTGTTGTTATAATCTAAGAAAGAGGAGATTATGACTGTTAAGGCAGTGGGATGAGCATGGAGACATAGGACTTGATGTTTGATTGGATATGGACATGAAGGATAAGGGAAGAAGTTAAAGATGACTCCAGGAACCCTGAGTTCCTTATGTTTTCAAATACATGTATGGCAGTATGAGAAACTGAGTTAGGGAACATGAGAGAATAAAGTGGGTTTAAAGAGAGAAGATAAATTCAGTTTTGAATATTTTGGTATTAAAGTACCTATGAGACTTTCAAGAAGTGATGGATGTTATACATACGAAGCTTTTGAGAGAGACCTTGGCTGTATGTGTATATTTATCATGGGCTCAGAGACCATAATTAAAACCATGGATATCAACTAGGGAGAGCCAAGAAAAGGGGAAGCTTTAAAGGTGGAAAAATTGGTCAGCATTATCAAATGCAAGAGAGCTTGGTTAAGATAAGGATTGAGAATTTGTCAAAAAGTAGGGAAGGTGTTGGCATAACAATGGCAAGGTGGTGTGGGTGGGCAGGGCTAGGGGTGAGGAGTGAAGGAGCCTTGAGTAAATGGATACTAAATGTTGACAGTTTTTAAGAAGTTCGAGATCTTGGGGTGCCTGGGTGACTTAGTTGGTTAGGCATCCAACTCTTGATTTCAGCTTGGGTCATGATCTCAGGGTCGTGAGATGGAGCCTCGCTCAGTGCCTGCTTGAGATTCTCTCTTTCCCTCTGCGCCTCCCCCTCATTTGCTCTTGTGCTCTCTTTCTAAAAAAAAAAAAAAAAGTTTAAGATCTTGGAGAAAGAATGTAGCAAGAATAAGGTAGAGGATAGAGTTGAAGAAGGGCCTTTTGTTTTCTTAAAGATGGGAGTGAAAGTCTAAATAAAGGTGCTAGTAGAAAGTCAGGAGGGGATGGGATGAGATGAGATCTAGAATTCAGGTGGAAGAATTGGCATTTAAAAAAGGAACAATTTTGGAAGACACTGATTGTAGTGAATGGAAGGGAAAGTATGGGTGTTGTTCCTGCTAGCTTCGTGGCCGGAAGTTGAGGGAAGAGTATGATGGTTTATGTGTATTCTTTAAAGCGGTATGTTAGGTCATTTGCTGAGAATGAACTGGAACATGCTTGGGTGGAAGAGGTCTGACTAGGGAAACAAAGGCATTGTATTAAGAGTCCTGTCAAGGTTGAAGGGTAGTCTGTATGACAGGATGATTTTTCTTTAATTGTGCCTAACATCTTGGGTATAGGTTCAGGGAAGGCAAATGCTTATATTGATTCACGCTTGTGTTTTGCTAGAGGGGTCTGGCCCAGTGAAAGGACAGTGAATCAAAGGAATTGAAAATAATAGTAGTTTGACGTGATGGACTGTGGCATCTAAGTTGAAGAATGTAAAGAAGAGAGCAGGGGGAGTTGATAGGCGAATAGTAGAACTTGTGGTCCAAATTAGATCTAAGAACTAAGGGTAAAAAATAAAAATATGAACACCAGAATGGTTGAAGGTTGTGGTCAAAGTAGGATTGTGCATGTGTATTTGTTTGTTGGATGTTGAACTTAGAATTCCGGCTGGATTATAATGGCCAAAGTTTGGCCATGAGGCAAGGGCTGAAGTTGAGTGGGGTGAAGGTTGCTAGAGCTAAGGTCAAATGAACCATGAAGTTGAGAAGTTGGATTGCTCTCATCAAGTCACCCAGGATGATGGCAAGACTTGGGGTAGAAAAGATTAGAAGTTAGGGACACAAGACTTTGGTTAAAGGGCAAGTGGGTCAGCTGGCAGGATGGTAGATGGAGGCAGTAAGCAGATAGAGAATGTTGGGGCTGAATAACTAGGACTTTTTGCCCAAGGCCTCCGAGATAGTCTTGAAGCAGCACTGGGGAGCTAAGAAGGGTAATGACCTCTCTCCTCCTCCCTCGAGTATGCAAGTATAAGAGAATAAACAGCCCCCATTTAGAGTTACATGGGGAAAGCAGTATCCTCAAGAAGAGCCAGGTTTTAGTGAAAGGATATAGTGGCAGGAATATTCAGCAAAGAAGCTGAAGATTAGGGGAGACAGTTCACAGTGGAATGGATTTTTTTTAAAAGAGTTATTTATTTTGGAGAGACCAAGAACATGGGGAGGGGCAGAGGGAGAGGGAGAGAATCTCAAGCAGACTCTGCCCTGAGTTGGAGCCAGATGCGGGGCTCCATCTCACGACCCTGAGATCACAACCTGAGCTGAAACCAAGAGTCAGATGCTCAACCCCCTGAACTACCTAGGCGCCCCTGGAATGGGTTTTTTTAAACAGCACAATAAAATGGCTTGGGAGTCAATGGTAGAAAGAAGACTCTGAGAATCCCAGAGCAACATGGTAATGATATAGTGTGGGTGAAGACCACAGATAAACAGTGATGTGAGCAATGGTGAACTGGTGAAGTCCCACGAGAAAGTGGGACTACCCAACATTGCCTCCCAGAACTTACTGTTAGCAATCCCCTAGTAGATTGGAGCACTCCGGAGTCAGCATTTCCTTGGATTGATTTTTACTAAACCTAGGGATGTTGGCCTGTACTGATTGTGGCCTGATAGTTTAGAATTAAGTAAGGGAAGAGGGCAGTGCCTTTGTTTTTTTTTTTTAAAGATTTTATTTATTTATTTGACAGAGAGATATCAACAGCAGGAACACAAGCAGGGGGAGTGGGAGAGGGAAAAGCAGGTTTCCCGCTGAGCAGGGAGCCTGATGCAGGGCTCAATCCCAGGACCCTGGGATCATGACCTGAGCCGAAGGCAGACGCTTAACGACTGAGCCACCCAGGCGCCCCGAGGGCAATGCCTTTGAAGCCTAAATAGGGATGGTTGAAGAAGGAAGTAAAAGCAGTGGTTGAGCATTTCTCTTTAGAAAATAGTCATTGAAGTCTTTTCTCTGAGAAAACTGTTACTCATGCTTCTTTTACTCAATCTTTTTTTTTTTTTTTTAATTAAGTGTCCTAGCAGCTCACTAATGAATAGAAAACTCTTTGGATACACCCAATATATGTATGCTACAGAAGTCATGCAAAGGAGACCCATTGTGGTGTAATAACACTCTGGTGATGTGAGTTCTAGTCTCAGCTGTACCACTGACAACCACTTTATCTCTCTAGAAATAAATTTCCTTTCTCTGTAAGAAGAAAGGGATTGAATTAGGTCCTTGTGACTTGATGGTTTCTTTGACTTTAATCTTAATAGGCATCTGTTTCAAGCAGTGGATAGTTGCTTTACGGTGCTTTATACCAAGCATTGTACTAGTATTTTGGAGGAGGTGTGGAGGAAGATGAGGACTAAGACAGTGTCTTGCCCTCAGGCAACTTTCAGTCAGCTGGTGGAAACAGACTGGTAAGGACTTCCTTCATTTCAACCTCAGTATAGCTGTTAACTTCATAAATTTACATAGCTAAACATTGTAACATGTATTATAAGGATACAAGTGCTTCCCCATCTTCGAAAAACCATGGTTAAGTGTACTGAAGTCAAATGTACCAAAGGGTAGCAAGAGACTATTAAGAACATTAGGGCGGTTGTATTCTCAGATGGCTAAAAATTACATATCATCCCTAATTGTGATATACTTAGGTGTGTTTTAAAATTTTGGCGTCATATTACTGAAGATACATTTAAACATTAAAGCATTGATAAATATTAAATAACAAAGTATTAATTTCCTCAGATAATTTATTATTCAATTTATTCTCCTTGTTTTCTTAAAATGACATTTGTTGGCAGAATTCAATTTTAATTTTGGGAAGAAAGGCTAATTTTGTAAGGAGGAGGAGCAAGATATTATGATGTAGGCTTTCATGCCTTACTGATATTTTTGGATAAAATTTGTCATGAAAGAAATGAATGCTAGTCTTCCTCTTCTCCCTTGATAAAGGAATTTTATCAGACTATTTTTAATAATAAAATGTAAATACTGATTTTTCTCAGGTCATAATTAAGAACATTTATTTTGTTTTTTTTCTTTAACTGTATTTCATTGTTTAGAGGCAGGTTTTGATGATCTAGGTTCAGCATTTCATATATGTTCTTTCTTTACTTAAAAAAATCTGTGGCTAAAGATTTATGGTTTCTATTTTTATTTAAAATATATGTGATTATTATTGGCACTTAAATTTTTTACTTTTCACTCATTTTAAAAATAAAACAACAGGTAGAAGATATAATATTCCAATAATTGTGTACACTTATACT